TAATCTTTCAGCAACACTTTTGGATCCTGAATCCCTTACAGCAGCTGTTTTTTCAGTCATGTAAACTTTGGTTCTTTTGCCAACTTCTTGCACTAATCTGAGTTTTAACTCATGCTGATATAAAGACAGGATCCACTGTGTCCCGGTCCGATTCGAGCGTATATATGTGCCTTAACTGAATCTGAATTTCCAGATTTAAGAATGGCGTGAGTCACTCTTACAAAGGGGGACCTCAGTTAGGCTAACGTGGGGTTGTACGTGCGCGGTTGCTGTGGAAACCCACGATTTAATAAGCACCAAAAAAAATGAAAGAAAGAACCGTGGAATCACGCTGCCATATATATGCATGTGATCTGGATAACGTTAACACTATAGGTTGTGTGACTTTGAACGGTAAGAACGCAGAGTGTTAGTTTTCCAAACTCGCTAACGAAAACAAAACAAGGAGTTTGTGCATATATATATATATATATATATATATATATATATATATATATATATATATACATATATATGCAGTGTTGCGTAAACTTACAGCTAGCTTTGAATCAAATCAGTTTAGCCAGGCGGACACTTGGACCTGCTGGTTGCGTAATGGATAAAAGTAGCGCATTCAAACGCACCTTTTCTTCTCCTTAAAAAAAGACATTAAAGATGAGTTTACTTACTTTTACGGTTCGAGACCGCCTCTGGATCGGAGGGATACCAGCCGTCCCAGTCCGTAACAATAGTAGAGGGAAGAAAAGCTCTTTGTTCAACGGCTCCAAACAACGCTTCCATATACTGATTACACTCCCTCCGTGAAAACGACAAGGAGTCCGACCCGGGAATCTTTACCGGGCAGCGGGCCCACCGCGTTACACGAGGACGCGGAAAGTTAGCGACCCTACCATAACCGCACTATGTTTCACCATTCTCCTTCTTTCTGCACACAATACTATACACTTGGAGTGTGTGTTCATTTCTCAAGCCAAATAAAGTTACATAAAGCACTTCCGGCAAGCGCTTTCAAAATTAAAAGCCACAACCAAGAGGAAAAAGAGCTGTGCAAATATGTGCGCTTCGATTCCTGAATCTAAACTCAAATTTCCATATATCTCTTCGGAAAACATGAACTTCTTTCTTTACATCTAATCGAAAGAAATGTTTTCGAGTGAGATGAGAAATATATATATATTTTAAATGTATAAAATGCAGTGAAACCACTGCAAAACACAAAAGTCTGGGTAGTGAACTTATTGGACCAATGAAAGTTTCAGTCAGTTTAGTCCGTTTTGTTTATATCGCCCCACAGCAACAGCCATCCGTCCCACTGGTTGGCTGAGGAAAAGACAGGAAAAAGAGGAGAATAGAAAGACAAGACAAACAACAACAAGAGTGAATGGCATACGATTCTAAAGGAACAAAAGGGTGAACGGGATTATATGAGTATAGCATTTAATTAGAGTTAATCCGAGACCGTGCAGAGTGGGACGTGCAGATCAGCCCGTGGACACGGTTCAGTTCAGCTTCCAGATGTAAAATATCTGGCTGTAATCAGCCAGATATTTTCAGGCTGATTAACATTAGGGGAATTTACGCAGTATGAATAACTGTGACCTGCTGCAGAGATTTACAGTTTCATAGAAAATATGATTCTGTATCCCAAACATTATATTTTAGAAATAGATCGAAAGACTTGTGCCAGGTTAACCATGGCCATGTTATTAAATCAAATTTGAATAGTTATTACCAATAAAACATCAAATAGTTGGCAGGAAAACCACGACTTCCTGTCCACCGAGATCACTTTCATAATAAAACCGCTGGAGCCTGTGCCATCGAAGAGACATGCAGCTTTAGTCGTGCCCCGCCGCTCGGGAGAGAGGCTGCGTACTACATCCCGCACAGGCCGGCGATCACAGAGCTACGAAAGGCAGAAACAGCTTTTACGGTAAAACTAACCTAATGTGTGTTTTGGATTAAATGCGTTTTATTTGAATGAATACATTTATTTTTTATCAGTATTTAACTTTTTTAAGGCCACAAATGCGCTGGCTTCTATCAGCTTCTGTCATCTGCGGTGAATCAAATAACAGCAGCTCCAGCACAAGTCTCATGACGTCCTTGGACTTGATGAAAAAACAGTGTTTTGCATCTGGGACGCTGTCCTCAGCTTCTCTCAAAAGAAGGTTCATAAAGAACAGCAGAGTCGCTCCGGGGAGGCAACACGATGCGGGCAGCGAGTGTCAGCTGTGCAGGTGAGACAGAAAGTTAGGACACACCGAGAAAACCCCCCAAACACAGGCAAACATTTGGAATATATGGTTCTTTTAAAATTAAATAAATAAATACATTTTCCACATTTGCTGTAGATTCTGCTGACTGATTACTTGACAGATTGCAGTTAGGGCATGTTTATGTTGTCTTCATAATAATGACTATTTGTATAAGTTTGCATCTTATTTAGCGGAAAACAAGAGTTTGCTTAGTTTGTTTGCACTAAACAAAGAATATGAAGAGATTATCAGCTTTATTCACAGTACATCTAAATATTGGTGGACCTCTACACTCAACAACATTAAAGTTAAGGTTTATGTGTTCTGTCCTATAAGATATAACTGTTTTGCACTGAGAAACTGCGACATCACACCAAGTAATTAAAAACTCGGTGAAAATCAAAAAAGTGACAACAAAAAGAAAAGTAATGTGGAAGTTGTGGAGGGATTTGGTCTGAGGCTTCCTACTAATGAGCTGGCAGTTTAGGTTGGCTAAAAAGGCTGAAGGGAGGTGCCTGGTGTACCTCATAAAGAGGCTTTCACTTAATTAAATCTACAAAATGCTACTCAGCACTATTCATTTGATAAAGTTAATAAATTCACAACCACAAGTTATATCGTCATGATAAAATAATAAAAACAAAAACTGAAGTAGCTCGTCTCCAGGCTTGTGTTCAGGTCAGGTGAATGACCTGAACACAAGCTTTTCAGATCATTCCCCTGCTTTTCTCTGAAAATCCATGATCAAGTTATAATAGGACTATACTGGGCACTCAAATGGGTCCAGACCAAAGAGTACACAGGAAGAAGGTAAATCTTCACTTTTCACTAGAATTTTTCTAATTTCTCCGATTCTACATTCTGTTAATTAATCTATTCCTGTCCTCCCTCACTTAAATAGGGAGGTGTTTTTAGGACTTTGTTTTAACATTATAAATAATTCAAGATCCATAAGACATACGCCTGACAGAAGTAAAAGCAGCCATCTCACCACAGAGTCAAATGATTTGGGGCAAGAATTGTGTCCCTATATCAGTCCTTGAGAAATAATAATAATAATATTTGACAATAGCACATAATAGGATCTATTGTTTTGTAACGATTCTACCACTAAATATAACAGTAATAATGGGCGATCGTGGCTCAAGAGTTGGGAGTTCGCCTTGTAATCGGAAGGTTGCCGGTTCGAGCCCCGGCTTGGACAGTCTCGTCGTTGTGTCCTTGGGCAAGACACTTCACCCGTTGCCTACTGGTGGTGGTCAGAGGGCCCGGTGGCGCCAGTGTCCGGCAGCCTCGCCTCTGTCAGTGCGCCCCAGGGTGGCTGTGGTTACAATGTAGCTTGCCATCACCAGTGTGTGAATGTGTGCGTGAATGGGTGGATGACTGGATATGTAAAGAGCTTTGGGGTCCTTAGGGACTAGTAAAGCGCTATATAAATACAGGCCATTTTAATAAAGAATGTATCTGTACAATAACATATAGTGAGATTATTCCCACTAATATTAAAAATACCCAACAACAACATGTTGTATGATGTGTTGCAACAGTCCCAGCAAAATGCATTTTTTTAAAAAAAGGACTAAAACCCAGTTAAACGTCTGGTAGTGATGTCCTTTGGAATATTTGTAATGCAAATAATATGCACTTGCATATTCACCTGACAAATAACATGGCCTGCTATGAGCTGTGTGGTTCAATTCTTGTTTTTTTTAATGTGTCACTTAGCACTAATTCGCATGTGTGCCAGCATAGTGGGCGCAATAACATTAAAGCTTAAAAATACAGAGTCTAGAAACCGGTATTTGTCTAAAAGGAACAAAAACAGTGCCTGTAATTAGCATTTAGACAGTACTTAGCATTGGATAGTTAGTCTGAAGCACATTAAACAAACTGTATTCTTCTTTTGCAGATGTTCCATATTTTCCCATTCAGGCAGCAACCAGACTGTTCGTCGGATTCTGACAGCCTGCCTCCTCTCTTTCATGGCCCTGCTCGGATCTGTATTCATCGACGTCAACTCCAACTTTGACTTGCTGTACACTACAGAAGCAGCTTACAGCGAGCTGACTTCATGCAAGACTCTAACTCTCCTGCAACTTGTCAGTAAACTTCAAAAGACGAGACATTTATTTTCCAAAAAAGTAGGGAATGAGACAGCTGAGGCAAGTTTTCCTAAGATGCTTTTTCTCATCTTTGATAATCACTGTGACAAACTGGTGGGTCGAAGTAATGACATCGGGATTCCTTGCAGTACTGAGTTTCCTAGCTTTTGCAAAGAGCTAGTGAGGAGCATTCAAGGATTTTTAAATACTTCACAGGATACAAACATTACCAGTGAAAGTGGAATTCTTGCTTTCTCACTGGCTATTGAAAGACTTCTTGACGTCTGGTGTACAGTAGAAGATACTTTGGTAAAGGCCAAACAGAATTCTAATTGGAGAGATGTACTGTCTGCAAGACTGTTGGTCACATTTATTGAGCTCAACCACCAGTTGAGAGACTTTGGCCACATGCAAACTCCTACTGGCTTCCAGTTTAGATGGTCATACATTCTGAGCTACCTCAGCTTTGCCAGGGTTTTGACAGAGAAACTGAATGACTGTTGGCTAGAAAACATAGACCACGAGATAAACACTACGCTGGATGTTCAGCATTCCTATATTTTTGACACAAGTCAATGGCAGATCTCTGGCACAAGTACGGAACGTCTGTCTGGGTCTCACACTGGAATTCAAGCTCTGACAAACACTCAGCAGTGTTTATTTGATCGTGCAGTGTTGGCTCTCAGGGCGGGCTCTCGATCCATCTCTTCAGGCCTCAGTATGAGGATATGCCTGCTGGCCATGGCATGTCTTATCTACCCTGTGGTGATGTTCTCTTTCAAACAGATGACAGAGTGGATACAGAACTATGCCCACAGTCTGAAGGAGAAAACACAAGACCTTAAGCACCAGAGGCAGCTGGCTGAAGATCTGCTTCACCAAATGCTGCCAAAGTCAGTTGCCAAACAGCTCCGCCAGCATAAACATGTTGAAGCTGAGAGCTACGAAAAGGTTGGTGCAAGAGGTAGCTATGACTATACCAGGTTATACAGTGAAGGATTGCTGGTGTTTAAATCCCCCTTCAAACCTGATTGGACCAATGGACCAGCCTTCCTTGCCTGTCATTGGAAACAAATTATACACCAGAACAGTTTCAAAATAAATTCTCCATTAGAAACTGTTTATGCAGTCAGGTTTTATTGTATCTTGTGTCATTTTAATTTGTACATTTTCTAATGAAATAAAAGAAAAGTTAGAAATGTGCAACAGGAAAAACACAAAATAAGAAAATTAATCTGCAGAAATGAGGTAGGCTTTGTGTCTGAATCTTTAGTAGCTTTATAATTAGAAGAATCTGATTCTGAAAACCCCTAAATTTAAATTCATCTCTGTGCTTGTCCTGCTAGACCTCAGTGCAGCGTTCAATACTGTTGACCATAATGTCCTATTAGAGCGATTAGAACATGCTGTAGGTATTACAGGTACTGCGCTGCAGTAGTTTGTATCATATCTATCTAATAGACTCCAGTTTGTTCATATAAATGGAGAGTCCTCTTGAGAGGAAAGAGATTTTATATCTCTAAGAGTAATCTTTTACTAGTTTACAAAGATTGATGAAAAACAAAGCCTTCAGTATGGGCTCATTTCAACTTTTATTCCTCTGATGATGCAAAAACCTAAAATCTTAAATGTAAGTTGCAAGTTTGGCAAAGAAAGGGAAGACAACAACCTTTACCTTATACAATTGCCATTTGCTTTGATCATTTAACCAAACAAATCCAGAGCATATGCGGCTGTGAGAGCTGTGGGATGTTGCTGCGAGGGGGTTACTTCTGGAAGATCTGCAAACACAAATACACAATGAATGTGTGTGTGTTTGCTGCCTTTGTTGCTATTGTTAGCATAATTGTCTATAATTGCCCTGTTGCATATTCATTGGAAGATAAAACATCGTATGAGTGAAAATTGCATCTGGCTTTTTGAAGAGATTTGAAGCAGCTGTAGCAAAAAAGCCCTCTGAACAGGGCTGTGGGGCGATTACAGAATATGGCTTGATAGGGTAAATTTTAAACAAATTTCAAGTTCTAGAGTATTCTAGGAGGAAAATGTTATACCCCTTATTAATTTGTTTCAAACTAAATGAAAACGGAGAACACTTCAACTGAGAACAGGATAGAGATACCAAAATAAAATATAAAGCCCTCTATGATATAGGACATAAGCTGTAATACCGCTTGTGGGCTAACCATGGGAAAAATCCTAGACTTTGAGCTGCAAGCTGACACATTGTACTCAGATGACAAAAAGTCAGATATGAAAAAGACAAAGTGAGAGGTACTTGAAAATGTAACTCTGATATTTCAAGATATTATTACTGACTTTCTATATAAAGGACCATTGTTCAGGCTACAGGGGGGGCCCAGTGCCAAAACTGAAGGGTAATATAAATAATTATCTCATCTTTTCTTTACAATCACCTACAAACTGCCTTGTTTTTGTTAGCTAAATGGACTGGGTCTTATATGTTGCATTTCTACCCTGAGCATTTTGTACAACGTGCCTCCTTCCTTAGTGACATCCTCTATGTAGCCGGTGTATCGGAAAAACTCAGGAGAGTCTTCTCCAAGCACAACATCCCAGTGTACTTCAGACCCAGCAACACACTCACACAAAAACTGGTTCATCCAAAAGAAAAACTCCTAAACACAAACTTAACAATGTGGTGTATGCTGTACAGTGTACCGAGAAATGCTCAGACCTCTACATTGGAGAGACCCAACAGCCACTTCATAAACGCATGGCACAACACAGAAGAGCCACCTCCACGGGACAAGACTTGGTGGTCCATCTGCATCTAAAGGTCAAAGGTCACTCTTTCGAGGATGCCAATGTTCACATATTGGACAGAGAAGACAGATGGTTTGAAAAAGGAGTGAAAGAAGCCATTTGACAGTATGTCCACTGTGAGCGACCATCTTTGAACAGAGGCAGTGGCTTACGACACCAACTGTCTGCCATCTATAATCCAGTTTTGAGATCCCTTCCCAGACGCCTTAACGCCCACTCACACCCTGGGCCATCTGACCTCAGGAAATCACATGATAGGGTGGGGCTGGGTTTCACAATGAGCTCACCCGAAACCGTGGCTGATTGTGACCCACACCTGTTTTCACACCTCGGCTCGTATGCTTAGGTAGAGAATCATAGGGTATCCATTGTCCCTCTTGAGGAGACACTCCCACGGTGCTTAAATCTGGGACTCCCCACCATTTGACCCTAGAACTGAAGAAGCTTCTCGGATGAGAGGTGAAACGTCTTCAAGCAACCTAAAGAAGTCCAGACGCTTTTCTTTCCAAGCTCCTTATAGTACGATGACCTGGATGGGTCTTCTTCTGTTATGCTGGCTCCCCTAGGCATTTGCGTTTTGGAAAGTGAAAGGTATATTTAGTGAGTTTGAATTTGTAAACTTATGGCTAAATGCCTATAAATCCTATGCACTGATCCTTTAAAAAAAACAAACATCAAAGATTAAACTATCACTTGCTAGACATTTGGCATTTGCTTTCAGATAGCATGGTGGTGTGGTGGCACTGGTGCCTCATACTATAAGCTCCAGGGTTTGAATGCAGCCTGGGCCTTTCTGTGTGGGGATTGGCGGTTCTCTCTGGGTACTCCAGCTTCGTCTTATCTGTCTCTTATAAAAGACATGTATGTCGTTATGTTAATTGGTGATTCTAAATCGACTGTAGGTGTGTGGGTTTTTGTATATGTTTCATACTGCCATGTCCTCTATATAATGTTAAAAAAGAGGATTTTTAATGTCTTCAAGTGCATTTTCTTAAGCTATTGCCATAACGGTACCTTTATTTTAAAAATCAATGTCTTAGAGTCATATCCAGAATTTGCTGGAGAAAGACTGTAATTTTGCCTCCACACAACCCCACAGTGGATTTTAAATCAAAAAGTCAAGATGTGATGTAATTGAACCCAGGTAGGGGGATGGCCACAAGCCAGTTTAGTCCTAATGCCAGCCACAAGCCCAGATGCCCGTTTGAGTTTTTGCCAAATCAAACATGCACATCATCAACATTTCCGTACCCGACCGGTCAGGGCCTGGGTTGTGATATTGTTGGCTAGACAAAACTAGAGGTGAATGCATGTTCAGAACCGGTGAGAGAGAATGAAAGGCATGGAAGTGAATTAAAATGTCCTCGCCGGTTGACCTGCCCGTTGTGTCCATGTGCTTTGTTTTGTCTCGGCTCCCTTCCCGGTTCTCTATTTCCCTGTTTGTGTGTTTCTGTGTTTTGATGTGTGTGTTTCCGGAAGTCCAGTTTCAAGTGTCATTTGACCGGGAAGTATTCCCAGGCTGAAGTCGGCCACACTTGCTGCTCATCAGCCCTCGCCAGCTGGAGCTGATTGTCATCGTCAGCAGCCTCCCTATTTTAACTGTGTGACAGAGCTTCATTCGAAGCTGGATCGTTGAGTTTACTCGTCAGTACATCCCCAGTTCGCTAGTGAAAACTTTGTGTTGGAAGAGTGCTGCGTTTGGGTTCGCTTCTTACCACAGACCTGACAGAATGATCCAGCCAGCAAAGGACCCAGTGGACTCGAGCCCTGTTCAGCGAGAGCTGTCACTTCAGGCAGATTTTTTGGATCGCCATAAGAAAATGCTGCAGCATATCTCAAAGGAACAGAATGTGCTCCTCCAGGTTGTTACCAAACTGAAATGTATGTTTCAACCTCACCATGGCAGAAAATGTTCCACCCTCTCTGCCTTCCTGCTGCCTGTCCTCTACCTCCCCTTCACCCTTTCCTTGGGAGCATCCGCTGCTGGTGTCGGAAAAAATATTGACAGAGTTGGATAAAAGTGCAGGTTTTCTCATGCAATGTGCTTTTCAGACAGCAGAGTCAAGCCTATGCTTCAGACTGTGCCAAGGTTTCATTTGTGGTGGAACTGGTGACGGGGCGAGCGCTGAAATGAGCACAAGCAGTACCAAGGACTCACCCAGAGATCTCATATTAGAATTAGAATTAGAATTCAACTTTATTGTCATTGCACATGCACAGGTACAGGGCAACGAAATGCAGTTTGCATCCATCCAGAAGTGCTTTAGTGATATAGATATATTACAATATATATTAGCAATAATATAGATATGTAAGTATATTACAGAAATGGGTCTATTATGGTATGTTATAATGTACACGGTATGAAGTATGTTGTGAATATTCTATAACTATAGGTATGTACAGGCTGTAGTGAGTACAAGCTATGTACAGGATATGAACAGGATATAAATATGAAAAACTATACAGAATATGAAATAAATAACTTTACAGACATCTGAGATATACAGCTATACAGAAATGGGAACTATGCAAGTTGTAAACAGTTGTAGGGTTAAAAATTATCATATGTACAGAATGATTGTTTACACAGAGCTATACAGTAGTGCAGTTAAGATAAGTGAGGGTGTGGATAATTTCTACAGAGGCTATATAAAGTGCTAGTGGTTGTGAGTGGTGGTTCAGTCCATGTTATTATTGTGTGTTTGAGGGTACAGTTGTCCATTGTGTGTGTGTGTATGTTCAGTCCATGAGTTTAACGTGGGTCAGATGTCAGGAGGCAGAGTTCAGGAGTCTGACAGCTGTGGGGAAGATGCTGTTCCGGTACCTGGTGGTCCTAGTCCGGAGGCTCCTGTAGCGCCTCCCAGAGGGCAGGAGGGTGAAGAATCCATGTGATGGGTGACTGGGGTCTTTGATGATTTTCCCAGCCCTTTTCAGACACCGCTTCCTGTAGATGTCTTTTATGGCAGGAAGTGGTGCTCCAGCGAGGCGCTGGGCAGTTTTCACGACCCTCTACAACGCCTTCCGTTCCGAGGCAGAGCAGTTCCCATACCAGACTGTTATACAGTTGGTCAGGATGCTCTCGATGGTACAGCGATAGAAGTTCAACAGGATGTCTGAGGACAGGTGGTTCTTCCTCAGAGTCCTCAAGAAGAAGAGGCGCT